TAAAAAAATAAACAACAACAACAAAAAAAAACAAGTGTTGAGCCAGAAGAAGTGGCACATGCCTGCAATGCCAATTACTTGGAAGGCAGAGGCCAGAGAATCTCAACTTTGAGGCCAGCCTCAGCAACTTAGTGAAATCTTGTCTCAGAATTTAAAAATAAGAAGGGCTAGGGATGTAGCTCAGTGGTATAGCACTTGCCTAGCATGTGTGAGAACCTGGGTTTAATTCTCCATATTGCACGCCCGTGCGCACACACACACACACACACACACACACACAGAGTCTCATAATTGATCCAAGAGCTCAGAGTAGAGCAGTTAACAAATAACAAATCCCTGCCCTCTGGAGAGACATGCTCTGAGCAGCTGGGGTGGCTCACGCAGAAGTAGCTTGTGATGAAGCTGCTAAGAAAATGAGCAGGGCTGTAGGCTTGGACCAGTCACAGCCCTGAGCTGTGTGCAGACTGTCACTGAGAAAAGGAGGCCTGGTAAACTCAATTTTGCTTCTAAGAGTGGAGTTGGCGACGTGTGCCAAGGAGTCAAAGCACAGGCCTTTGTACCTGTGGGTGTGTCTCTAGTGACAAAGTCCACAGCCTTTGAAAGGGTTTCATCAKCGTCAGTGACACCTTGAAGTCTCAAACCATGAGACTTCAAACCATCAGGTAGCAACCACAATGTCCCTGGAGAGACTCAGGTTCAGTCTGGAAGCCCATCTCTTGGGGACACCATGGAACCGATTCCTAAATAGAATTTAGCAGAGAGTGAGGGAGAAGGGAGATTAAACATCTGGGTCACAGAAATCACTTGCGTTATTAGTCAAGTGCACAGAGAAAATGTAGCCCCTTGTTTTGACTATGATTCATTTGGTCACTTTACGAGTAAATAAATGCCCAATCCAGTTTAAATGTAACCCAACCTAGCCACACACGGTGYATATGCCTGTAATCCCAGAGGCTCGGGAGGCTAAGTCAGGAGTTCAAAGCCAGCCTCAGCAATGGTGAGATGCTTAGCAAATCAGGGGTCCCTGTCTCTAAATAAAATACAATCATGGGAATGTGGCTTAGTGGTTGAGTGCCCCTGAGTTCAATTCCCAGTACAAAAAATAAAAATAAAAAATTCAACCCAATCTGATCATTGACACCATCCCTCCAGTGATGGTCAGTCTCTCTGGGATAAAATGGCTGCTCCTCAGATGACCTCCCTGGCCTACCTTCTCTTGAAAATGGTTCTAGGCCTGTAGAGGAGGGAGACCCACATGTGTCCTGATTTCCCAGAAGGGTCCCCAGGCCTCCTGCTAGTTCTGGGAGGCACACACACTGGCTCTTTGGTTTTCCATCCACCTGACTGACTGCTCCCAGTCCTGCCAACTTTGCAGGAACAGTCTGAGGTTGGAATCATTTGTGAAATGTTCTTTGGAAATTTGTCAGAGCCCAGTCATGGCCTGGATCCCATTGGCTGGAAACCCTGGAGTGACCACCAGGTCCTCTGTCCAGYTCACCTGTCCATCAGTCTACCCCCAGCTCTGTTGCAGAGTCACCTCACCCCTGCCTAGCAGCCTAGGAGACCCTCCCAGTCCCGGTCTTAACACAGCATCCTGCTCCATGGAGTGGGGGCTTCCTCTCCATTTCCTCTTAGCAAGTAATTCACACCTCTTATTCCTTCTCCCAATTCCTTTCTGCTAAGAGAAAATAATCCAAATATGACATAAATCCCATTTTTAAAGTGGGAGGCTGCCTTTTGCAAATGACTGTGAAGGTGACACCCCACCCAAAGTGGATGCAAATATGGGGACAATCTAGACAATAGTCTTCCAGCTTATGGTGAACTGTGACCTCAAGGATGCCTCCACATAGAGGTGGCACCTGCCTGATGCTCACAGACGCATCTCCTGACCCAACAGTGCTCCAACCCTTCCAGCCCACTAGTCTGTGTAGAGTCCAAATGCTAAATTTAGGATTATTCTATGACATTGGTTAGAGGGTGATAATCATGATTGATTTTCACATGTCCTTTAAAGAAATCTGTTCCGTGCATTCATTTATATACTTATTATGTTCTATCATTACTATAATAAAAATAATTATTATTTTCACTAATTCTAGCTAGAGGAGCCAAAAAGCCAATAATTCCTAACTATAATTAAGAAAAATAATTAGGCATTGATTAAAAGATACTCTGTGTTCACTTTGTAAAAAATGAGTAGTACATGAATCTCACTAGTGAAAATATAACACTTAAAATTCATAATTAGTCAGACTTTTGAATAACAAGAACCCTCCCATGTCAAATCTGAGCAGTTACGTTACAAATATACTTTTCCCTCAGGCAATATGAAATTCTAGCTTGAATTAAACAACTGTCACATTTCCAAAAGCATGTAGTAAAAATGCTAGCTAGCTCTTTTTATTTTTCAAAAAAAATCCCATTTTCTATAGCAGAAGGTCACTGACCACTACTTGATGTTTAAGGAAAACTAATGTACACTTGAGCAAAAGTTTGCAACATAATTCAAAACTGACAATTATATTAGCTTCTAGTGCCTCTGCAACAAAGTACTGCAAAGTTGGTAATTTAAAACAGCACAGATTTATTATCTTAAAGTGCTTTGGAGGTCAGAAGTCCAAAGTGGGTCTTATAGGGTAAATCTTGGTGTTGGTGGGGGCTTTGGGAAGAATCTGTTTCTTTGCCTTTTCCAGCTTCTGGGGGCCACTGCTGCTCAGGGTCCCTTCTGACAATCAGAGTACTCCAGCTTCTCTTTCTGTCATGCAGATACTATCTCTGATGCTCCTGTCAGCCTCTTACAAAGGCTGTGTTTTTGTTCCACCCACCCACACCATCTAAGATATTTTGGAGGGACATTCTTCCCACCTGCTACAATAGAGCTACTCAAACCAGTATTTCTTCCTAACAATATTCCTGAAAAGCAGATAACATTTAGATATAAAACTAATGAACAAAAAATTGCATTAATCCACTAATCATTAATAGTAGATTAACATTGCAATTTTAAAAATACTTGCTAGGATTGGAATGCTCACCTACTTCAAATACTGGTATATTATGCCAGGAGCTTCCTTGGAAGCTATGGAGGGAGACTATGAGAGGCCCAGGGAGTCTTAAAGGAGAAACAGAAACCTGATATCAGGTTGTGACAAGGGACACAGCCACATGGGGACAGAGCCACCAGGAAAGTCCCAGATGAAAGATTCCTCTCCATCCTCGTCATTCTTCTTTTAGTTGTGGTTGTTCAACTAAGACACCCGTGTAATTCTGACACAGCTGAAATTCTTGCCCAATAAATGGGGTTTTCTGCTCTGCCTTGCTCACAGGATGTCATCCCCTCTGCCACAATGTCAACAGTGTCGACAAACACAGCCACCAGGTGACAGAGGTAAGGCTTCGCCCTGCTGAGAGCCTGCATGTGCCGGTTTGCACCAGGTGTTCCACGTGTGTGTCTCGCTTCATCCTTTTAAAAACCCTGTGAAGAGCTCCTCCTCTTGTTCTCTGTTTTTGTGAGTTAAAAAAAAAAAAAATGGGGAACATCGATTTCTCCTTTGTAAAATAAAGAAATTGCATGAGATGACCTCTAATTTTCCTTCCCACTCTAACATTTTAGGATGCTTGAACACTACATAAAATATCCCCATTTATAATGAATAGAGCACTGACTATATGCCAGGCACTAAGCCAGGGGTTTTCATCTATGCCACTGGGTAATGTGTGATCACCCATGTGATCCGTGATGCTAAGTTTATACTGAAAATTCGACATTGTGAGGATTCCAAGCATCCATCCCCCTACATTTTGACTATACATGCATTCTRTGATAGTCATG